TTGAAAGTAGGCCATTTTACTTGACTTTTGCCAAAATTGCTCAAAATCACCTACTTTTGGGGCTCATATCTCAGGAACTACTAGTTCAAATTATCTACTTCAAAGCATGGTCTTATTCTCCTTATGTAGGAGCAACTTTTTTTGGTTTTCATTATAGTATATATTCAACCAATCAAAAGATAGAAAATGCATGTTTTAGTATTTTTGTCTGCTTTCACTCAATTTTTACACAAGTTTTACTATATTTCTTGGACAATTGACTATAGAATACAATTTACAGATTAAAAAATAAATGTGTTGTGCTTGAGTTATGAATTAATTTAGGGTGTTGCAATACTTTTGACACTCACTGTATGCTTGTTTTCAGTATTATAAAGTACTGCCCTTACTTTCAACTTGCAGGTCATACAAAGATCTGTTGTAAGTAGAAAAATATTACTATATAGAGGTAAGCAACCTTCTTCTAATTTATTGACTTCAAGTTGGAGTTGTTACTGTTTGAATTAGGATGTGTGAATACAGATAAATGGTAAGCTTCATCACCAAAACATGTAGAGTCTGACAAGGTAATATATTTACATGTAGACTTTATAAGCAAATATAAGGATCCACAATATGTAAAAAATATATGTCTTAGCAGTAAATTCTAATACATTTTCGTGTTTGATTTGGTGATGTTAGGTCTACATTATCTTGCTTGTGGGCCCTGTGTACTATCTTCCAGGGCTTATTATTACTGTATTTTACTCAGAAACACTCACTTTAAGGGTATTTGTAGTCTATAATTACTAAAACTCATTATTATTTCACAAAAAAAATACTATTAGAAAGGTCTTCATATTAGCTACAAAACATATGTTTTAATTTTTTGTAAAATTAAAAAATAAATATTTTATTGAATTTATGCATGAAGGACTCAAAACTGAGCATTCAACATGATTCACCAGGAAACACACACTTGTGGGAAACTAAACTTAGAGAAATTCGTGCATGCATTCACTCAGTACACAGACTCTTCACTCAGTACACAATTACCCTGTATTTGTACAATAGACCAGCAGCCCTAGTGTTTCTTTTTAGGGACCTATACCAGGAAATATACTATACTATACCATACCAGACTCGACTTCAATCCTATCCAGACCAATTTACTTTGGTCTGGGCAGAAATAAAGGTAAGTACAGTCTATTAGTCATATACACTCTATTAATTAATAGAATATATGGTCCTTTATACAGGAACAGGCTTGTTGTGATGACTTAGAGTCTCTTACCTATGTTCTAATGTCTGCTTCTTACTCTCCTCTACCTCTTGTTTTCCTCCTCCTCTGCTTCCAGAATTCATTACACTTATTATAATTATTAAAGAATAATAAAGTAACTTACTTTTTAATAATCATTCCAACTTTTTCTTTAAAAAGTTTATGAGTTAAAGGAATAGCTCTAGAAGAAAGAGATTTGGTCCAATCTTTTAAAATAGTTTCTTAGGATGAAGATAAAAGTTGAAGAGATGAATGAGAATTAAAACAATTAGAAATGCCTTTAAGTCTTCTATTGATGGAAAATCTTGAAACACCAAATTGCTTTATAGTAGCTGATTTAGAAAGAATAAATCTAGCAGAATTAGGATAAGTACCAGATACTAAAACTGTCTAAACAGCTTGACTTAGCTTAGCCTCCTCTATATCAGAGAGGGCTTTACTACTGGTAATAGAAGAGGATTTAGAAAGCTTTCTAGCTATAAGAAGCAAAGAAGAATAAAGGATTTTGAAGGGAAGAGAAGATAATAATAAATGTAAAGAAAAAGAAAAAAACTTCTCTTCTTTTTTTTCTGTACTATGTCAGTTGCTATGGTGATCACTTAATACTGAAA